AGCTTATCAAAACCACCAAAAAATTTATGGAAGACTAAAATCTTACACAATATGTTCTCTGACTACAGTAAAATTAAATTATAAATAAATCAAAATAAGATATTAAGAAACCCCAAAATTCAAAAATAAAAAACCATACTTCTAAATAGTAAAAAAGTTTTAAAAAGAAATCACAAAGGAAAGTAGAATATATTTGGGGTTGAATGAAAATAAAAACAGAACATACCAAAATTTGTGGGACGCTGTGAAGAATATTTAAAGGTAGCTAGGGCAGAGGACAGAAAAATATTTATATCTCTAATTGCCTATCTGGAAGAGTTATCTGAAATCAATCCTTTGAGTTATACCTTAGGAAGCTATGAAAAGTTAAGCAAATTGTAGGAGGAAATAAAGGTTAAAAAAATGAAATAAAGGAGACAAATGATAGAGAAATTATGAAAACCAAAGTCTTTTCTTCTCAAAGACTGATAATATTGTTAAACATTTAGAACAAACAGGTTAAGGCAGAGAAACACATTGCAGATAACAGGCATATAAAAGGAGATAATCACTACTGAATGAATATTAAAAGAATAATGAATAACCTTGTGGTAACAAATTCAACAAATTAAATTCCTGACATAAAAACACATTTTATGTCAGAGTTGACATAAAATGGCACAGAAAATTAAGTAGCTCTGTATTTTTTAAAGATATTGAATTCACAAATAAAAACTTTTCCTCAAAAAGAACTCCTAGCGTATACAACTTTCTAGTGACTTCTACCAAACATCAAAGAAAGAAATAATGCCAAACTTACACATGCCCTTTAAGAAAACAGAGGAGGGAATGTTCTAGTTCACTATATAAACCTAGGACTAGCATCAGTCAAAACACCACGTATTTATTTAATTTACAGAAAAATTATTACTAATGAACACAGAGACAAGATGCCTTAGCAAAATATAGGCAGACTGAATCCACCAATAAATAAAATGAATAAAAGGTGACCCACTGAAGTTTACCTCAGGAATCCAAAGTTACTTTAATATTTGAAAACCAATTAATGTTTTCACAAGATGAAAGAGAAAACTATGTAGGTGGTTGCAGAGCAGCATTGTGAAGGCAATTACTTCTAATTCAAAGTGGAAAACAGAGAAGGAAGCAACTGTGGTCATTCATAAAATGAGAAAGCAAACTGCATGCAACCACAAAATATTCTTATGACATTTAATTATATCCATTATTGCTTCACCATATCTTTTAATACTCACTGCATTTTTGTCCTCTTCTGCAACTACACACCCCCAGCCACCTGCCCAATACTGGTAAACAAATAAATAACAAAATACATTAAAACATTTTTTTCTTTATAGGGGCTGGAGCTCCCAGTCAGCAGTTAGGGTTCTGCAGATGCCATCTGTCTCCTCTTCATCTAGAGTTTCATAGGGAACACAAGACATGGATCAAGTGAACTGCCCTCTACTCTGTTTCTGCTCAGAGCCACAGACCTCAGTAGCCAGCTCCCCCTTAACACTCACTGCAGTGTGCCTGGGGAGTCAAAATGCATGCTGAAATGTAACAATGAATAATTAAAAAAATAATCACTCATGTACAAAATGCCCTAAATACTCTTCCTAAAAATGCTATTTTAGATGATTTCCTACCATGTTGTCCCTTAAACAGAAGTCTAGAAAGCAACTTAAATTATATTTTATAAACCAGTATATAATTAAGTAGAAAGCACTAAATACAATTGGCAGAACAGTTCCATTTGTTATAATAGGAAGAAAAGACATGAAAGAAATTAAACAAAATAATTTGATTACACTTTTCCGGTCTAACTGTCATTTCTTTGGCTACCTAGCACCTGAAACTCCTTCGTGTGTTAGAATTCTCCACCTTATTATTCTCCCCTACAGAAGGAAAATATGTCCAATAGTAGCTTTCCTAGTAGCCAAAGAGAGAGTGTGGGGCCTTAGCCTGACCAACCAAATACTCCTGTTCTTAGGCTTCAAGTGAAAAATGAGAGATGCAAAGAAGCAGGACCAGGCGAGGTACCACAAGAGGCACCACTAAAGACCCAATGATGGCAAAGGTGCTGCCTGGAGTCTGCAACCTGCAGACTCGGGCATCACCACTTAAGACTAGATCTATAGAGAACATTTGTTGGTGGTGATGTTGACTGGAGGAGTTGGTCCCTTAACTGTCCCAGCTATGCTCTACCATGCTGTATACTAATCAATAAATGCTTTTTCAGCTTAACTCAATAAAACTGGCTTCATTTGCTCACAACAAAGAATCCTGCATGATACATCTACTACCATACAACCAACCTCAGTATGCTGAACTGCCACCTAAAAGAAGCTACACCCAATATACAGAGCTACTTCAAGTTTTCATACTGGTGAAAAAAAATTTTTTTGCCCCCTTCTGAATTTCCTACTTATCTTAGCTTCTTACTTTTAAAGGCTCTGCTCAAATTAAAAGGTCTTTCCTCTTTCAGGGTTAGAAATTATAGTTTCTAAGGATGAATAAAATGATTGGAAATAAATTAGGATACAAACTATTAAGAGATGATGTACAAGATAATAAAAAGACAAATACCATTCTATCCTAAGTTACTATCTGTAAACAAGGAGTAGATTACTGGAGGCAAAGTTCCCCATGATGATTATTCATTAGCTTATTCAAAGCGGCTTTAAGGACTCAGTCCATTTGCCAAATTGATTCTTGCCCAAATTTTCCTGGCACACAAACTACCGGTTAACCCTCCTATTAGCAGTCTCAGTAGGAACCAACACATGAATGAGCATGGAACCTCTTCTCTCTCCTGGAGAGGCCAACCAGAGCAGCACTCAGGCCAAATGTCTCAGAATTACCCAAGAGCTGTGCCCAGTGTCAGATAATAAATACTTGAATTGTAGATAATAAGGCCTTTGCTTTCCCTGACTCTTGCTCTGGCAGTGATTTAAAGAACTGGTCTCATTGAAAATAATGGATTTTTTGGTCTTACTATTTTAGATTTCTAAAGCTTCAGTTTATTCTATATGCAAGGGAATTGAAGATGTTTGGTTAAAACACTTTCAGGATTACAAGTGACAGGTAATTTTGTTGCTAAAAAGATGAGTTTGGTGTTTCTGGCCTTATCAGCTGATATAGTATTTTTGTTGTAAGATTCAGGATAAGAGTATGAACTGTAACTTTTCTTACATGACACGATCCACCAGAACAGAATATCCATCAGGTGCACACAAGGTAGCACTGCCTAACAGAATGAACCTCCACTGAGACTACACAGCCAATGAATCCGTCCATAAAGGACCACTGTATCCCTATTATATGGGAGACAGATCACTGGTTCATTTCATATTATCCTGTCAGGACTCATAGGACAGAAAAATATCTTTCATTCCCAGCCAGGTTGGAAATGACCCTGTCATTCAGAAACAAACAGGATGTAAGTCAATTTTTTTAAAAGTTAGTTAGATAATAAAATCTTTGATTCAAGTCAAAATGAGTTTCTTCTTTTTCTAAAAGAGAAATAGGAGATAGAATGCACAACTGAAGTAAAATTTTAAAAAGTATGTATTTTCATATGTTAAGTGAAAACTATAATGAAAACCAAATAGTTCTTGATTTTTGATAATACAGCATAAAATCTAGCAGAATCTGACTTTATTATGAAATAGGTCATTGGACATGTTGAGAACATAATTGAAAAGTGTTCCATCCAAGAAATATAAATGAGCTTCAGTGACATCAGTTGAAATACATTGGATCTTGCTTCTGTAGTTTCTGGAGATTTCTGACAATCTTCGGAGACCTCAGTGGTTGTCTGCTGGGATTTGCAGACGGTCTGCAACATCCAAAGTAAAATTGTTTGATTGCACCTCACATCCATGCAAAGCCTTCAGTTCTTCCTTCTTTAATATATTACCCGGTGCTATAGTGATGAAAATGTCTGCTTTTATTCAACGCCCATACCAGAAACACTGACATACATATGTTAATGCAAAGATATAATTACAGGGAAAAGACATACACATTAAATGACAGTATCATAAATATTTATAGTATAGTGCATTCAGGTTGATAAGCAAGTGTTACATGTGAGCTGTACAACTTCTCTGAAAAGCACAAATAGAAATATTTTAATTTATGCTTTAATGAGGGCTGGAAGAACATATTGCTCTTTATTCTGATTACACTACACATCATTAGCTTCCATGAGTTCCTCACTCTCTTTTCTAATAAAGGAAATTAGCAGTATTGGCTGCATATCAGAAGGACAAAATTAAACTTTTATTTCCTCATGGCTGATGACAGTAAGCTTCTATCACTTGGCAGTCTTTGAACCATCTACTCATGTGCAATAAATAAGTGTGTGTTGGTCGGGGGGAGGCGAGGGGTGAGGAGGAAGTCAGTTTAAATGAAACACATGTGAGCGGGAGCCTGGCGGTCTGCAGCAAATACAGCTATCAGACCTCAGAGGCAAGTCTGAGACTGGCCAGGACTTCAAAACGACACGAAGTGAGATCGCATGCAAACTTTCATTCTAATTCTCCTCATGCTGGAGAAATAATTTTCCAAAGAAATAATTTAAATGATTTTGAGTTTTAAAGAAATATTTGAGACAGCTGGATAACGTAAGTTGGGAATGCCACCACATGGTCAGGGTCATGGCTGCATGACTGGATCTCCCACCTAGCAGTTAGGCATGTCTTATGCCACTAGAAAAGAGAAATTAAGAGGAGAAAATTCATATTTTAAAGAAGGCATTAAAGTCACCATTATGGAAAACACAATTTGTTTGTCAAACATCTTTTCTAGTTCAATATTTTGTTTTTTTTAATTTTGAGTGACATTTGAAAAAAAAACACTAGAATCTGTAAGAATTTTGAATTTCTGAGTACTTATCCCACACAATACAATATTTAAGAATAAGAGATAACCTCAGAGATGGTCTCTGCATTCTACACTGTATTATGGGACAAATGACCATTTGAAAGTCTCAATACCTTCTTTTGTCTGCTCTCAGCAGCAGCTAGCTGTGTGGACATCCTTTCTTGCATTTTTCTGCAGTGGGCCATGACTGCTTCAAGGATGGAGAGGGGGTTGGTACAAACTGGCTTCTTGTCTTTATCGCCGGCACCTGCTTCATAGTCTCTCTGCAGTGCCAAGAATGGGTCGTTTAAATTAAATCTTCCATATCGTTCCTGGATAAATACCTCCTTCCTGCGAGCCTAGAACAAAATCAGAGGAACGTACTGAAGAAAGAAATGAGAAGTTAAGATATTTATAAGGAGGTTCTGTGATTACATTTCCAAATGGAATTCACAATTCTTTTATGTAATGGCTTGTGTGTAATATTAGGTAGAGAGCAAGATGCAAGGGGAGTTTGACCCCAATTTCTGACTAGCCTGGCATGTCACTGGATCTACTTTTAAATTTTCTTCCTTTAAGAATATTGTCTTTTAAATTGCAAATGATAATGATATATTTTTCCTATGATGCCCACTCCTTCAAGGATCTGTTTTAGGTGCAACCTATTTTTAATTTAAAGTAAAAATCAGAACAATCAACAATTAAAATAAGTTTTAGCAAAAGTTCAAAAAATAAAATTATCTCTGTTGTCAGAACTTATATTATTTCTCATAATACTTATGCAGTCACAAAATATAAATCTCCTACAAGTTTTGTATAGCCAAAAAGAATTTGTAAGGATATTTGCTAAAGAAGAAAATACTTTATGAATTTTTTTTAGTTAAAAATTCACAACATTCTCATTTTGTGAAGTTTAAACAACTATAAAAAACCTCCAGAAAATTTAAGGAGATATAAATATCTCATCATTGAAGGGCATTAAAATATAGTTGACATAATCCCAGGAAAGAATGTAACTGCATTTTACTCTAAATGTCAGTCCATCAGCATTCAAAGTTAATGGCACATCCACATGGCACTACATGCAATCTTTGATAATTAGCCTACTCTAGTCTTTGCATAAAATGGAAAATTGAAGTAGAAATATATTGAAAACTAGCAACATTCTTCTAATTCAGGTCATTTGAAAGAGCCCTTAGGGAAAAAAATTATTCTATGTCACTGCCAGTGGAAAAATAGGATAGTTTATTATAAATCAAGCTTAATTGTCCCAAATGTTAAGTGTGTTTTCCAAAGATATATTACATACTTTTCCTCACTTTAAAAAGCAACCACAATGAGCTACACTATTCCATTTTTAGACCACTGTCAGCAAGCCAACAACTAGATAAACACAAGTGCAAATGACAAATGAGAAAACCTAACATTTTGTTTTCCTATTACCAAATTATATCAATTTGGAGATGCAATTTACAAAAAGTCCAATTTCATCATTAAATCTAAGTGAGTGTTCAGAGCATCATCTGAAACTTAAAAGTGAACATGGTTTACGAATCAAAAAGCATTTGATATTTCTAGATTCTTATGTAATCAATACACTGAAAAAAAAATGCTTTTGAGGTACAATTTCAAAAGAAGTTTCATTTTTAACAATTTAAAAATTAAGTCATTCACTTAATTCTTATTCAATGTAGTAGTTCACCCCCCACCTCAGACGAAATCTTAGAAAACCCCATGGTTTTTCAAATTACTGTTATCTAATACAAGTCCTGTAATCACTTTAAAACATAAAAGTCTCCACCTGGCTATTGGAATCTCCAGCTTCAGTGGTATGACAGCTTACCTTCCCCACCAAGGACCTGCTGCAGATTTGCATGCACCACCTGGGAAAGGAGTGTTTATGAAAACCTCTTTTCATCTGAATCATCTCTCCCCCTTCCTAAGCTGTTTTTAGTCCTCTCTGGGGTGGAAGGGACTGGAGGTAGATGATGAAAATAGAGGTCAGAGAAGCAGGAACATTCTACCTGACTGGTTCACTAGCCTTGTCAATGAGTATGGTGAGTATTTAAAGACTACTCTTTCTCACTTTAGAGCAGTGGTCCCCAACCTTCTTGGCACCAGGGACTGGTTTTGTGGAAGACAATTTTCCCATGGATCCTGGCTGGGGGGGGGCAGTCACAGGTAGTGGGGAGGCAATGGCTTCAGGATGATTCAAGCCCAGTACATTCAAGCTCACCTCCTGCTGTGTGGCCCAGTTCCTAACAAGCCACAGACCACTACTGGTGTGTGGTCAAGGAGTTAGGGACCCCTGCTTTAGAGGACCATCCCATCTCCCCCTGCTGAGACCCCTTCATCATAGTTTCCTTAAGGCAGGTAATAAATGTAAGACAGACTACAAATGGTAATCTGTGGGAGTCCAGTAAAAAATGAAAACATAAGGCTGTTTATTTAAAAAATTAAGAATTTCAAGATGGTAATAGCATCCTATTTAACCAAGTATGGGGCCCTTCTTAGGGCCTGCCTTTTTGCAACTGCGTAGGTCACACACCCATGAAGGTGGCCCTGCATACACTTCTTGTGAAGCATCTAGAAAGCAGATTTTGTGGGCTGAGGTCCCATGTTATCGAGTCTTCTTTATTAAACAGGACCTGAACCAATCTCATTCCCACCCTTTGATGTCCATGGCCCAACATCATCTATAGGACACACTCACAGGTCTTCATCTAAACAAAATCTGACAGTGCAAGATGACTCTTGAAATCACCATTGTCATTTCTATAGGATTCCAGCTTTTTCATCTCCACTTAGATTCTAACCACCAAGGCCTTCAGGAGAAACTTATTAAGTCAACTTGTGTCCTTGAAGCCTGTCTCTCAACTTGAGATGAAAGGAGAAGCAACTAGATGGGGTAGGACTCAGCCCAAGTCTCTCCAGAGACTTTGTCAAAGAACATTTACTCTGATTAAAAAAAACAAACAAATTAAAAAAACAAAAACTGTCTTTATAATCTCCAACAACTACATTCTTTTACACCCTCAATGTGGGTAAGGCGTTTAAAAATTAAAACTGGATTTCAAAATTGCTTTACAAAATTGTGTATCTCCATCCTCACTTTAAGGATCCAATATTTATTATGGGTTCCCCACTGAAATGTATGCTTTAACAATCAATTATAATTACTTGATGTCTACTCACATATCCAATATATTTTATGACATACAGTGCTATAACACACTCAAGTGATTTCTTAACCACATGGGTTATTCTTAAATCAGAGTGAACTTTTGATAAATGGGTTAATTTTATATTAATATAAGAGATAAATACATGTATCACTGACCTGTTTCCAGTTGAAATAGATTTTATGTTCAGCAAACATTTAATATTATTTTTACTAATGTGAAAAAGTTTTGTGTATTTTTTGTTGTGTTTGCTTCTGTTTTAAAATGACTACTTTAAATGATAGTCCCGCTGAGACATTGTTAAATGTGGGCAATTTTTTTTCTGCTAAAAATGTACAATTGTATTCAAGATCATCAACAAAAAATGGCCAGTGATTTTCTTTGTAAATGTACACTTACATTTAATTTTATGACGAAGTACAAGATACATACATTCAGTTCCTTTAAGGGTACCAGTAGTGGCTCTATATTTTCTGCCATTCATTTCAAATTATTTTCTAAGTTCTTTGTGATTTTGTCTTTGCCGTATGAATTAGAGAAATTTTTTTCAAAAATTTTCAGATATTTAGAGTTTTCCTACATAGCTCATTGTTATTGAGTTCTAGGTTACTTCTTTTGAGTTCACTGAATACATTCTACAAATACAAAGGTCAATTAAGATGATTGATAATACTGGACTTCTGGCCAAGATGGAGGTGCAGGTAGATACACTTTGCCTCCTCGCACAACCAAAAGATGGACAACAACAAATTTAAAAACAGAAAATAACCAGACCTGACAGAAAATCAAACTGTATGGAAGTCCCACAACCAAGGAGTTAAAAAAGAAACATTCATTCAGGCTGGTGGGAGGGGCAGAGAGAGGCAGTGGAAGTAGAGAGAATATTCAGCAAGGCAGTGGCTGCTGGTTGGTGGAATATATGTACATTCTTATACATATATAAGAACTTGTATGATCCATGGACATGAACTAAGGGGGAGGAATAATGGGGGGGTACAGGGCAGAGGGGAATAAAAGGGAGAAAAAATGGGACAACTGTAATAGCATAATCAATAAAATATATTTTAAAAAAATATTTTAAAAGCTTTTTTCTTTACTTTTATTTTTATTCTCATCTATAAACTATGGCTTATTTAAAAAGATGATAGTGTTATTCATATTTCCTGTTTTTACTGTTTTTTCCTATCAACTACTGATGGAGGTATTAAAATTTATGATTATGAAATTATGTTTCTCCCTTTAATTTGTCATTTTTTGTCTCAATTTCATATATTTTGAGGCTCTGTTACTAGTCACACAAACATTTATAGTTACATCTTTGTGATGAATTATCCCTTTTATCTCTATAATCCCGGGTCTGTTTCTAAATCTTCATTCTGCTTCCTTTATCTTTCTATTCATAATTTGCCAGTACAAATGGTCTAATTTGTATTAAGTGCTACCAACCAGTAGAACAAGCTTCCTTCACAAAAATGTTTCTAAAAATTCCTTTGCTATGTTGTCAGCTCCTTTTTCTAGATAAAATGGCAATTTATCAACTTCTAAAAAATGTATTAAAATATTGATTGGAATTATGCATACATTAGACCAGGGGTGTCTGTGTCAAACTCATGTTCACCAGGAACCACATCAGCCTCAAAGTTGCCTTCAAAGGGCCAAATAAATTTTAGGACGGTATAAATGTAACTACTCCTTAACTGTTAAGGAGTTGAAATTACATTTGGCCCTTTGAAGGCAACCGCAAGGCTGATGTGGTTCCCAGTAAAAATGAGTTTGACACGCCTGCTTTAGATACACACTGGAAGAAGACATTTTCATGAACTTGAGTCCTGTCATTGGAAAATAATCTTTTTCATTTATTAAAATTTGTTTTTATATCTTACAGAAGTTTGATATTTTCAAATCAATTAACATAAATTGAACAATGAGATCCTTTGTACATACCCTTGGCAATATTCCCCACTTTCTTAATTATCTGTGCACAGTACATATTTTATCTTGATTAAAATCGGTGGTGCTCTCAGTGCTGGCTGCTTTTCAGAATCACACTCAGCTTTGTCCAAGCACTCAGTTGGAAAGTCTACCAAAAGTCCCCTTAGTACTTAATGCCCCAGCCAAGGACAAGAACTAATAACCAATTTTTTTGTTCCTTTGTGCATTTCTTGTACCATTACTTA